ATTTCAAGTTGATTCCAAGTTGACTCCAAGTTGATTCCAACATGATTTCAACTTGATTCCAAGTTAGATTTTAGGTGGTCATAAGTGAATTTGAAATTCATAGAAAGGAACGTTATAATACAATAATCGACATTTTTTAATAAAATTTGTCGAATTCGACAAATTTGGATTTTAGTTTTGTCGAATCGACAATTTTTTTTTCGACAAATTTTATCGACAAATTTGCGATCGACATTTTTTGTATTCGACAAAATTGTAGGCACTCCGTTTGCTTTAGAGGCATTTTCTTGATGGGCGTACACTTTTGGAACATGTACATAAAGCAAAAGGTTTCAATTTTGAATTTTCCATCGCTAATTATTCAACTATTTTGAACAATTATCAGTTATTTTTCTATACGCGAAGATGTAGAATATTACGTTCTTTCTCGTGCTATCAAAAAAGAATAGTTTTAGAATATAAAATGGCAAAGATATGAGAGTCAGAGTGCTCAAATATGAAATATCCGTTTGCTTTAGGTGCAGCGACTCTATATCTGCGGAATATACTCATAAAATCAGCAACATTCCAGCGAGAAAGCAATATACAATCGAAACTTCTACAACATACTATTCGAAAAGCTGAAACAAACAACGATAAAAAACTGAAAACTCCTGTGAAAGATATACAAAACGAAATATAAAAACAAACTGCTACATAATATAATCTCAATTACTTTCTCACTACATTGTTATCTCGAGACACGAGGCATGTGTCATGAGTCTCTCTGCAATATTTCCAGCCTTTCTTTTACCCTGTGTTGTTTTCCTTTTCTTTTTACAGCTTGTAGCATGGTGATTATAAATAAAAGGCATTGAAATCCAAACAAAAATCTCGAAATGTCGGAAAAATAATCAGACATCGGGATTCCTCGGTCCCAATTACTTGCATTCAAACTTTATACAGGATTAAATTTTTCACACGACACTTTCACTCACCTGAATAACGAATATTCCTCCCGCAGCGTACTACCATCTTTTCATTGAAGGGAATATTGAAAAAAAAAATATAGCATAGCAAAAGTCATTATCTATTTTAAATATAAATTATCGTTATTTTAATTTACTCGTAAACTGGATTATAAGTAAACATAAGTCGAAAACTATAAATCCATGAGATACCGGGTTCGAGTTCGAATTTAAATGGAGCATCAACTGATTGATATCAATTCGAAAATAAATGGACATATATACATATGCTGTCCTGTAGATTTAGGAATATATTCAATTTTAGTTTCATTTTTATTTAGTTCAATACACACATTTATTCAAGTGTATCCAATGTGTTTACACTCTTCTTGAGGACGTGTGTAAAGTGTGGGTGTGCCTGTGAATGTCCCTGTGGCTGTAGAAAAAAGACAGCAATCCCACTCCAGACCCACACCCACACTCACGCCAACACCCCTACGACACTCATACCAAAACCCAGTTTCACATTAAAAAAAGTCAAAAGCAAAAATGTTTGTTTGATTGTTTATTCAGTGATTAGAAGATGTTTGAATCATTTTTCGTGATAATCAATAAAGTAAAACAAAGCTTATTATTAACAAAACGAATATAAATTGTCGCTCCATCATTGTCTTTATGCCTTTTGATGATTGTGAAATAAAAGAAAATTTTTGTATTCGATTATTATCACTATCAGCAATATATAAATCTAATTTTTGTATATCTAATGCCAAATCATGAGGAAAATTTAATTGATTAGGGTTATTACCATTTGACCCGTTATACCAGCAATTGTTTTACCTTCTTTTAATGAACCATAACAAAATAATTGAATACGATGATTAGAAGTATCAGCAATATACATATTACCATTTTTATCCAATGCTACAGTAGATGGACTATAAAATTGTGTTGAACTGGTACCATTCTTACCAGGTGTACCTGCAATAAATGTACCTGCTGTTTCACCTATTTTCCATTTTGTTATTGAATGCCCAAGATAATTTGAAATATATAAATCATTATTTGGTTCATCAAAATACAGTCCTACGGGATCGTTCAATTGATTCGGTAAATCACCTTGTTCATTTCCTCCGGCTACCACAGTTGATGATTGAGATAACCATCTTACTATACGATGGTTCCTTAAATCTGCAATGTATAAATTTTTCTTCGAATCAACCCATATTGCTTCAGGAGTATGTAATTGATTTAAAGCTGAACCGGGTATTCCTGTTTGACCAGCCACAGTAGTCCCATTTGATGAGCCCTTTTCCCACATTTGAACACGATGATTGTCAGTATCAGCAATAAATAAATTTTGTGGATTTATTCAAAAATTATATCAGTTTCACTTGTTTGTTGTCAGTTTGCTAAAAGAAAAATGTTGTGCACTACGGTGGTGACAATATGATAATGATGACGATGATAAATGAATAATCTGAGATATTCATCAACATAAATAGCTGATGGCCGATTTAGTCGATCATTACTAGTTCCTGGAGTACCATTTGGATCTCCAGCTACTGTCTTTATTTGACCATTTGGCAATAATTGTTGTATACGATGATTATCTCTATCGGCAATGTATAAAATTTGTGTTTTTTGATCAAAAAATAAACCGCGTGGTCCATTTCACTGATTTAATGATGTTTCAGCTGTCTCACTTCCAACAACTGTTACTCCATTTGAATTCCACTTAAGATCATCGAGACCTATAGAAAAAAAAAACTTCACCGCCACGAAAATCAGAGACAGAACCGTGTTGGAAAGAAACCTAAATTAAACAAGGCATTAATACCTTTAAAAAGTCATTATTTATTGACATTGGACGGACATTATACAGGTTTAGTGATCTCTACAACTATTTTCTATTCCACTTACATTTTCCTTGCTTTTGTTGACCATCAGAGTTAAATTGGGCTAAAAAAAAGAGCATCAAAAAAAGAAACAAAACAAGTTTTTCTTGTTACCAACTGTTATACCAGTTGTTGCACTAAGAATACAAAGACTTTGAACAAAAACTGAGTCTAAACATTGAATCGAACTTACAATAACAAATATCCGATGGTTATCAAAACAAAGAGTCCTTTTGAAAAGAGCATTAAGTTTCTTTTTTTCTTTCTCGTGTAAACTGTAATACACGCACTTCTTTTACGTCTTCTTTATATATCATAGATATAATTATAACAGAAAAGAAAAAAAGGTGTATATCATTCATGAGCATGATACTATCACTTTCTTTTTCCTGACTCATTAAAAAAGCTTTTTTTCTGCTCAGTCATTTTTTGTCAGAATTGATGGCTATTCATTTCTAAAAATAATTTAGAATACATCTCAAATAAAATAATTATGAATTTGCTAAATCCTGTTGCAATCTCGATTTCTACTGTATATGATATGTATAGATCGGAATATGTATCACATGAGATCTACTATTAAAAGAATATTAGTTTATTGTGGTTATTTTTCTTTTACTACTTCAACCATTAAAAATTCTCTCATTTTTCTACTGTACTCGATAAAGTTGATCATTCAATGGTAGTTTCTAGGGCTAATAGGTAAATATATAATTCTGCAAGTCTGTGAACTCTCTATGACAATGATCGATAATCTTATCTCTCCAAAACTTGTCATAGTTATTTTCAATGGGCTCAATCTTTATCTGTTGCCATTTCCATCATCGCTACTGCTACAGAAACGGGTGAGTCGACAGTTTTTGAACAATATGCTTGTTGATTTTTCGCCCGTTTGAAAGATTTTCAGAAGAGTCAGAAACTATGAACTAGAACCAAGATTTAATCCTCTTACGGAATATGAGCTCATAAATTATTTATCAAATTTTCTTCGAGGAGTAAGAGAATCTTTGAAAGGTTTGAAAATATAGTTTGGTTGGGACAGTTGGGCCGAAGTTTCTGAACAATATTTTGTTTATTTTTGGCCTACTTGAAAGTATTCCAGATGAGTGAAAAACTGAGCTAGGATCAGAATTTTCTCCTGTTTTCCAATGTGGATGCATAAATTTTATATCTACTTTTGCACGAGACTAGCGAGAGAATCTTTGAACATCCTAAAAAATTGGTTTCGACGGCGCACAAATAGGCATTTACGATTCCGTAGTCATTTTAGAAAAGTACTAAAAGCGATTGAATGCGGCACTTTCGCAGAGAAAACAATTCTTTACAAAATCTGATGTCGATCTAAAATTTAGCTTTTACGCACGTGAAACTATAAGCATTTTCTCAGGTACTACTTTCTATATAACACGCGACTTCATCAAAAACTCGAATTTTGAAAAGTGAGACTGATCAGAAAACAAAATTCTTAATGGCTTCTCCGAAGACGAAAAGCAACTGGAACAGTATATCTTGTAGAATAAGTTTTGATTTACAAGGGTGTGGGAGTATATGAGCGAGCTTTCAGACCAACATTCACATCCCACATTCCCACACCCACACTCCATACCCATATTCAAACTCACACCCTTTTCTCCAAGTTAGGTATTGAAAACAGCATCAGAATTTATTTTGATATTCAAACTTTTGTAGAGCTCGTTGAACTGCATTGAACCAAATAAAAACACCTAGAAAACGATATTCTGCTTCAGACGTCAAAAGCATATTTTGTTGTTGCAAAAAATATAAGATGTAAAATGCATAGTCATCATGAAGAAAATCATCGTAACTTGTCATAACTGCGACACAATCTCAACCATTTTATTTTTCAATGATAGCTCTTCTCATTCTGAACAAAACTGTATATTTCAATCAACTACCCATAAAAATATTTCATATAGATAACGTCAATCTACAGCGAATGGTCAAGTCTTTTGGCCTACTGCTTAGCATTAAAAACACTTTTCACGCTTAAGAAGAAGCAGGACATGTCATAGTCTCTGTCTTTAAACATTCCCTTTCTTAAGAAAGTGGCATGTACAATGACGAATTTGTAGATAAGATTCAAATTAATCATTTTATTATTCATCTTCACAAAAAATCATGTCACCGATGTTTTTCACACTCAATGGATTCATCAAAATCCGTTTTCTTTGAAATTTTTTTAAAGCTTTTTAATTATTTACAATATGATTGAAATCCAGTGTTTCGCATTTAAAAATTAATGAAACTTATATACTGATTTATATCTCCCAGACTAATCGAAACCATATAATGAAATAATGCAAAAATAATGAAAGTAATGGACTCGTTTTCGTTTTCGAGAGTAATCAAAATCATATAATGAAAATGATGCAAAAATAATGAAAGTAATGAACTTGTTTTCGTCTTTGAGAGTAATCAAAATCATATAATGAAAATGATGCAAAATAATCACAGCAATACAGTTATTCATGTTTTTCAAAAGTATGGGAATTATGTAATGAAAACGGTATACAAAAATTGAAACTAATGTAGAGATTTTAGTTTTTGAAAATAACAAGACTCACTTAATGCAAATGACGTCAAACTAATGAAACGTATTCAGTCACATAGTTTAAGTTTTTGTGAAATAACTGAATTCACGAAATGAGAATGATGTCAACATAACAAAATGTATACAGTGATTTTAATATTTCTGCAATAACTAAAAACAGACAACTGTTCGTATGAAAGTTTGAAATTAACCATTTGAATGAATTTAGTTTGATTTTTGGATTCACCTGGCAACAAAATCGATATAAATAGATTATATATTATAGAATGTCAATTGTTATGAAAACAAATTAAATGTGAATATAATTTCATGTACACAATAATGAAGTAATTCAATTGTTTTAGTAATATGTCTGAATCTAAATTATATAATATTTTTCATAGAATGAATTTTTTTTTGTATTTTTACAGTTAAAAATAAAATCTATTTCATATTTTATCCGAACTGAAATTATGTTTAGTGAACAATATATATATATATATATGTCAGTTGACATATATTCATTATCGTTGAATTTTAAAATATGTCTAAAAAAGCGGAAATATAATTTAATGGATTTAGATCTATACAAACATATTTCTTTCATTCGCTTATTCGTGTTTACAAGCAGGTGTACACTTAATAAAATCATCAAAAACAACGAAAGTCGTTGCCAAAGTCAAGAGCTACTTCAATGTAATAAAAATTTATACTTCAATCATGAAAACTCACTAGAATCTGTGGTATCACTATGAAAAATCATATGATAACTACGATATTCAAAGAGAATAAAGTCATTAAAAATGTTCCTTACTGTTTCATCTTATGATAGTAGTTATTTTTCTAAAACTTAGTAATAATATTAGATCGCAAATAGGAATAGGTCTTTCCATAGATTTTCTACAACATCGTCAATTTTCGAACATAGTTTTTTTTTTACAAGAATACAAATTCATACAAAATATCACATGCATACAGACCTATGTAAAGTTGAAGCTACATATGTCCTAATTGACATTTATTCGTATTGAATGAATTTTTTGTAAAAATATTAATTTTATATTTCTAACTATCTTTCACGAGCAAATATATCCAAGTAGATCTAGGCAGATCAGTTAGACAGATACTTGAAATAATGATATATTAGGCAATAGTAGCTAGATAATTTATAGATTGATATATTGAGATAATATCATACAATCGTTGATATACCTAAATAAGACATATTGAGAATTACAGTATCGCTAATTATCGTAATGGATATATTTCTAATTTCAATATATAGATGAATAGAATATTTGAACATATATATATATAGTTAGATGTCACATATAATTCTGTATGATGAATATAAGTCTATAACTGTATATGAGTACACTGTTAAAAAGAAAGATGTTTAGACACTGAATTTCGATCAAAATGCACTACAAATGTATATTATTCTCTTATCATACATTTCATATACACTTTAAATGGACTAAATATCATACACTACTCGTCTGATATGCATTGGTGATGCATAAGTAATGCACTGTTGATACACTGGATCATTATTACATACGATCTATTTTAAGTGAAGAGTCTGTGAATCGTATAGTGCGTAAAGAGTGTACTACCAGAATATGTCAGAGTAGTAGGACTTGGTCCTTAATGCATTTAAGGTACCTATATACAATGTATGATAAGTAGATATTATGCATTTGCAATACATTCCTAGTGCAATTTGATGGAAAATCAGTGCATAAATTATTACGCACATCTTTTTCTACGTGTAAAACTCTATGTAGTTTATACTATTTTAATGACTATAAAATGTCACAGAATACTTGCAATATTTCGATATCGTTAATTTAATTGTTGTTCATGTGAGTATACATGAATAGTCAATTAAAATTTACCTATAAAACATTTACAAAACTTTTTCTATCAAAGAACTCTTCAATATTCTTAAATTATTTTTCAACTTCTAATTAGTAAAAAAAAAAAAAAGCATAACATTATTTGAAAAATTAAATTACAATTCATCAATGACATGTATATTGATCACACTTATTTTCAATTGTATATATTTGAATTTTAGAAGATAACATTTGATTATTTCTTCTGTTCTTTGGTGGTTGATGTAACGGCAACTTGTTCGTTTCTCGAGCATTGGTATCATGTTCGAACCTACTCTCCTTCAGCACCATATTTATATATCTCGGTTCTGTTCTACACGTCTCAAGGTACTCGTTCGTCGATGGACTATGCATTCTGATGGCATACCAAAGTGGTTTGATCCGGAAAACTATCGCTCATGGCTCATGCTATCTTTGCTCATAGTTTTATATCCTTTCTATTTGTTTTTTATTTTAATTGCTTTTCATTCTTCATAACTTACTTGTAATCAGCCTTATGTGTCCCTTTAGGCCCTATCATAGATAGAGGGTTAAATAAATCGCAAACAAGTACATGTAATTTCTTCTCTTCTTTTAAATGTAGTGTTGGATCGAAACATCTTAAACTATAGCCAACGAAGAGAAGAAAGAAGAAATACGATAAAGCCGTACTGTGAAATTTCTTTTTGTTCTCCTAGCTATATGTGAATTGATACATGTATATGTTCTTTTATTCTCTTGAGAATAATTTTACTCATCCTTCTTGTAACACGTTATGACGCGGTGTGACATGAAAGTCATTTAATATAGAACGATAACTAAACGATAGTAAACGAGAGATGTATTTATCACATTTGACACCAAATAATGTAATAATCACTTTTAACCTAATAAACAAAGCCTCTCATTTTTCTTTGTTGAATATTTCAATGTATATATTAAGAATTTGACAAGAATTTTAGAATTCTAAATTATACTTTCAACTTTCAAGAAGCTTATCAGAACATGTTATATGATATATGTCATAGTCGTTTCTTTCATTTTGTTCTCTTGTTCGAAATAGATCATAACACGCAATGAACGTTTTACGCGCTCATAACATAGCTTACTATAAGTACTTTCTTTCGTTCAGTTGCTTATTCTTATGACTATATGTGTTTATATCATGACTTATTCTTTTCCATTTTGCCACGATTTACGATGATATGAAAATGAAGGTATGATGCATCTTATCGTCTATCATTATTCCCATAATCATCATTAGCTATGTTTAAAAATCTATCAAATATTTACTTCATTCACTATTGAATGCTATTATTCGCAATTTTTCTTTTTTTCTTTAGGACTATGCAAATGATTATTTGATCTTTTTTCTGTTTTTCTCTATTTAATTGGTCGTAATCAATAGAGAGAAAAAAGAAAAACAAACGCAATAAGAAAGTATAAATATAACAAGTACTTGATCATTTTGCATATGCATAATTTTTAAAAATTTGAATATTACATTATTTTCACACTTCCAATACATTTATTATCAACAATAAATTACATTATGGCAACAAATAAATGTTATTTTATATCATTGTTGATGATTGTATTCATATTAAATAAAATTAATAGTCAAACATTACCAACAGTACCATTTAATGAATTAATTGATTTAACATAATTAAGAGATCCACTGTAATATGCAACATATCGAGCTTGTAATATATATGTANAATTAATAGTCAAACATTATCAACTGTACCATGCCAATCTGTATTAGATTATTATTTTAAATATCTAACTGATCCACATCCTAATACGAATCGTTATTTATCCATTCAAGCTACATATATATTACAAGCTCGATATGTTGCATATTACAGTGGATCTCTTAATTATGTTAAATCAATTAATTCATTAAATGGTACTGTAACTGTATCATTTAGTGATCGAACATGGACTCCATCATGTAGTTTACTGTTATGTCCTTATCAAAATTTTAATTATAAAAATAATGATATACAAACTATTGTAATTAATAGATTAGGTTCTATTAAATATATATTAAATAGTTGGGGTAATGGAAAGTTTACAGATCAATTACAATGTTATGGTATAGATAAACCACTTTATACAGCACCAACACAACAATCATCATCTATGTTTGTAATGACTTTAAAAAAGGGAGAATATACTATACCAAAATAAACATTCTATACGAAAATCACGCATAATATCTTAGAAAACAAAACTTTTTGATAATTAATTAATTCCATTTTGCTATGTACAAAGCTTATAGTTTTCTTTTTATTGCTTATTTTATCTAATAAAATTATAATTATCAACAAAATACTTTATATATAATCAACAATTTTCATAGAGAATACAAAAAACTTTTGTAATTGTTTGTCAATAACAATATGGTTTACACCAGTATTAATTTACATATAATACGACCCATACCTGATTGTACAGTGCTCACCAAAAGTTCTGGAACAAAATTTTGTCTTTCATAATATTTTCTTATGAGACTATAGGAAGCAAATAGTGATACGATTTGATCGATCTAGTAGTCACCTCTCACGTGCTTTTATAACATTATGATTGAATACTTCTACAGTAACTTATATAGGATTCAATATTAGTCTATTGTGTAGAAGTTCTAAGACACTTCAGAGATATTCTAATGGATTACTGAGCACTTCATACAAAAAACTTGTGCGATTAAACTGAAGATTTCAGGACTTACAGTCTTTATTCAGACAATATTATTTGTAAAAAAAAAAATGCTTGAAAAATCTATTAACATCAAACCATCCCAAGCCATACTAGACATGTAATGATCAACTCGATATTTTTGTTTTATCATTTTGCTTTTTTTTCATTGAAAACTATTTCGAATTTCAATCGTTACATGTGAGTTAGAACCTTCTATTTTTGGGCTATCAAATAGCATATAAAATGATTTTTGTAAATAGAAGTTTGTAGTAGAAACATGACCTATATCAGTAAAAGTAATCAACATGAATTTTTTACAGAAAATGTGGCAAACACTGTAAAACTTTTGACTATTACTGGTACAGTCAGAGGTGGATCAAATTCAAAGCGTTTCAACTCGATAATATAGAACTCGACTCAAAGTTTGGACTCGAGCTCGAAGCTTGATTGAGCGCAAACTTAAAAGTTCAAGTTCGAGTCGAGCTCAGTGATGGATAAACAAGAGTCTATTTTCTATGAATAAAGGATAGTAGTTAGGTATTTGATAGGCAACTATAATTAAGCATTAGTGGAAGTATGTATGTCAAGTTACGGAACTGGTGTTCCAAAACAACTTGAGTCTAATTTATTCGTCTAAGAATTAGCGTTGAACTCTGATTATTTTACACAAGTTTATTTTATGCTTTATCATAACTCAATTTTTCACACATGAGGCTCTCTCTTCTCAGACATCGAAAAAAACTTTTGATCATTATACTATTAGAAGTCTTTACAGTTAGATAGAGCTGAGTGTGCTGATTACAAATATCACTCGATTTTTTAAAACTAATCGAATAATAACAACAATCTGAAGCATTTTCTGGAAGCCCTCAAAATAAATTTTTGATCAAAGACCAATGAATATTCGATTTGCATTCGTCGAAAATATTCGAAATCGATGCAGAATATTTTTCTCTATCAGAATCTATAAGAACTTCGTATACACTTAAATTTCTTGGTATTGATAAATGCCAAATATCGCCCCGTTTAGGTCATATTATTAGAAACAATGTTTGTTTTCCAGTGTTACGAAGTTATAGTTTATACAGGTGCACCCAAAAGTTTTTAATCGAATATTTGGTTTGATGTGCTGTTTCTAATAAAATTGTTGTCAGCTTACAATTTGATGTATAGTAAAGCAATTTTGTTCTAATACTATTCTTAAGCTTCAATTTCTGTCATTCTTGATTAATGTTTGCCGGTTTCTGAAAAGAATAATTCACATTTGATTCCAAACAAATATCATATTTGAAATCAACACAAACACTGATTCGACCTACACATGTTTGAAACTGTTTCTGCAACTTTTATTTTCGGTCGGATTTTTATCCTAGTCACTCGGAGGAGGAAAACATGAAAAAATAAGCTTATTCAATAAAGTCATGTGGGTGTGTGGGTGTATGGGTGGGTGCTGCGGGGGTGGGTTGTGAGTGCGAGTTTGGGCGAAGACCATGTCAACACTCACATCTATACTCAAAACACAAAGTTACCTGTATAGACATATTTCTTTAAGGATTATAATAAAATATTAAAGATTGAGAACCTGTTTCTTAGAGATAAAATTAGGTTTTGAATGAATTTCTTTTCCGATCTGTCCCTGAGAGGGGCTCCAGCTGAATCTTTCCAGGAAAATAAAAGTTATTGGATGGATTTAAAACATACATAAATCGACTCAGTTTTTTATGCTGAACACGAATCTGACGTTGGATTCTTTTTATTTTGAGTAGAACTCGAAGACAAATGCTCGAAATACTAAAGACTTTTTGCCAAAATCGGCACTCGAATGATAGTCTGCATCACCATGCGATGTCTTCCCCCAACCGTTTTTTAATTCTAATAAGTGGATTTTGTAGCTACTGTAAAGGGCTCTTTATGATAAAAAAATGGTGATCTTTGCTCGTGCAGTTGAGGAGAACGAAGATCTGCAATAGATGTGTCTGACAGTTTAAAGATGGTTTTTCGAGATTTTTGAGGATCATATTTCGACTATAAAGTCAGAAGGACTAAAGCAAAAAACTTTATATTTATACTGGTGTTAGAAGGGTATATGGCCTCTTAGATGAAGTAAAAGAAATCTTTTTTTCTATTGTTATCATCATATGAATTGGTGTACTATACCATATTGGTCACAAAAGCAATACAAGCCCAAAACAATTGAATAGTGACCATGCTCAAATATTTTATTCACTCGTGAAAAACAGCTGATCTCGTCACAAAAAATGCTTATCAAAACGAGATCTTTCATTTGATATAAGATAGTAGAGGTTCCGTTGAAAAAAGTCCGAGGGCCCGATTCGCGACCAAATGCGCCCCCGTCCTCTATGAAGAAATTTTTATTAATAGTAATAGAGAAATAATGATAGAGATTATGAAACAGATAAGAAATAAATAAGATTTGACCAAAGAAGACTCACAAACAACAATAAGAGACAAACTTGAATAATTGAAGAAAGAAGACAATGATGAGACAGAAAAAGTTTAATAACAATGAAAATATGGTTCATGCGTTTGTTGGATGTTAACATCTTGGTTGAATTCGATTGAAAAAACGAAATGCAATACGTTTAAGTGCTACACGATATACTGAACCAGTGAGTGTGTACAAATAAAATGACGTTGAATGTGTGACACAGATAAGCAGTACAATCACAGAATATGACAAGTTTTCGACAGCCACACGGTATTTACTCTTAGGAAGATCCGATGTTAGACTGGCATACGGGCGATAAACTCCAAATGGTAAATCCAGAAGAAGAACAACCAACACCTAAAAAAATCATTCAGCACTATTTTCATAATCAATCTTCGATTAAAATATATTCAACATTGGCTAACTGTAAATGTTTACACTCTTTTTTGTAGCTATTTTTAGCATCGGAAGAGTAATTTACGCCAGCACGACGAAAAACTCCCAAAGATCTCTGATAAAAGATCATGGATATAAGTCTACATGTTAATAAATCCTCTATTTTAATAATAAAGACTCATTCTAAGTACTTTAGATAAAAGCAATTATATCAAGAAGAAAAGAGAATTAAGCAGTTTCAAGTAACAGGTACTGACAAGTATCAAGAAGATCTTTTTTGTTATTTGTAATTTTCTACTCTTCACATTGACTGAGTACTAGTCACAGAATTCAGGAGATAAAATAGTAGATGATCAACTGATATACGTTTTGAACATTACAAAACGATTGTAAATAAAGATTGAAAAAAAACCGTGATATTTACCTGAACTAATAACATTCGAGTGAGATTGCGATCATTATTTCGCATTGGTAGTCTATCGCTATTTGTACTGTTTGAATTCACTGCTGGATAAACAACTCTTGATCGGACATTACGAATAGTTAATGAACCAAAAATGGCTAAACAAATGCTAGGCAAAACGATATCGAATGATAAAGCTGCCCAATCATTAAAGAGTCGGCAAGGAATATTGCGACCATAGCAGGCGACTGGAACATTAGGAACACTTGCTTCAAAACAATAGACAACTTCGATAAATAGAAGTGCAAAGAAAATGAGAATTCCAACCAAAAAACGTCTTGCCGTTTGACGTGCACTCAATCGGCGATAAGTAACTGAATGATGACTACACAAGAATCGATCAATATTTGCTCCAACAAGACACCAAGTACCCATCGCCCAAGTAACATTGAGAAGATACTGACGAATTTTACACATAGGTTGATTTTCGTTTGGCCAATTAACGCTGTAACTAAAATTTAGTTTAAAACAAAAATCGTTTTTTTTTTAAACGTCCCTGTTTACAAAGATTATACAGCTACATAAACTATGTATGCATGTACATCTCTCTTCTATAAATGTAAGCTATATTGTCTCACTTGAATCATATTCGCTTATCAGTAACAATCTCATAAAAATGACTCAACACAAAAAATAATAATCCTGTCATTTTTCACTGTGTCGTTTTAGTTCGATCAAACAAACGAAATCATACAGACAAAGGCCTCTTACTTCAAAAAAGTTTTTTTAATTTCCTCTTTGACTATAACCAATAACTATCTATGTCGTAGACATTACAGTGATTTTGACGACTTAGAAAAAAGAAATCAGGCTGAAAAAAGCCATAGATTTAATAAAGTTTTACAAGTAACAGTTTTTCAAATATCACCGATAATTATTTATCTAATCACTAATTTTGGTTTTCATTCTATGATTTGTGACACTGAAAGTCAAATATCATCTAAATATAAACAAGTCTTTTTACATAATCATAGAAATTTCGAACAAAAGAAAACGATTTCTTTTTCTTCATGGACGTTTCGCTAAGACTATAAACAAGAACTCGTTAATAAAATCTCGATCTATAACAAAATTACCGAAAACAAACACTAATTTATTGCTAAGCTTTTGTCAATCAAGAAGGTATAGATAGAAATTGATGTAAGTAATCGGAAGAATTGAAGACCATTTTTGTTTTTAATATTGGCAATTAGTTTTTCGAAATAGGACTTCATCTCAAGTCTATTTTCGGTAACAAATAGCTACTAGATATTTTAAATTCATCTCTCGAGAAATATTACATATTTTATACGTGTAATTTACCCTTGTAAGACTCGTGTTAAGAATCCTGACCAAATAAACGCCAAACTAAACATCGATGACCAGGAAAGATAGATTGAACATGGATTTTCGTGGAGAGAACGTTCGGTTAGTATACAAATGTTGAGAAGATTACCCACCGTACCAAATAGAAGCATTAATGTAGCTCCATGACGATTGATCTGCATCGTGGCATAAGTGAGAGAAGATACTAGATCCGTATTAAGTGACATTTTTTTCCTTTTTCCAATGTGTAAGTATCAATCGATGACCTAGAAATATATTTAATGCTGATAATAAAGACACCGTTTCGTTTTAGAATACTGAAAGTGTTGAAAACATCTCTATTTCTCATGTCACTATGGGTGGCTTCGCATTATTGAGTGCGTTTTTCTTTTTTTTGTCGAACTAGCCTAGCCAGATAAAGCTATTCATTTCGTTTCTCTTTTTGTATACGTTCTTTCTACCTCAAAGAAAATTAAAAGACGAAAAATAATTAGAAAATTATAACAATTAAGAAATCTAAATGAGGTGATAAATTCAGACTCATTATTGTTTCGCTTCCTCAAGAGAGAATGAAAAAAAAAGAATGAAGACATCCTAATGTGATATGATTAGGAAACAGACGATAAACGACACGTCACTCATTGAAGATAAAAATTTATCCTCATCATAATAAGCTGCATTAATCTAGAAAATAGTATCCATGATGACTAAAATGACAAGCAAACCAGCAATTACATAATGAAAAACTTCAAAACTATATCGATCATTCTGAAGAAAATCAATTTTTCATCTTAGATTGATAAAGGTTAGATCATTGTAACGAACATATCTAATGATCAATCTTTGCTTAGTTCCTGACACATTATGCATTACAAAAAAAAATATTTCTGCATCCTTTTCATTGTGAAAGCATAGATCAGGGATGTCAGATCAGCATTAACTTAATGCTAAGATGAATGGTTTTTATTAGGACTCTTAAAAAAAATATTGTAATTTGTTTTCATTAATGTAGTGCTTAAATCAACTAAACATTCTGTCTATTTTCAATAATATTTTTTTTATAAATTAATTACAAAAGGAGCGTATCTACAATAAAACTAAGCTTCCTATTTAAATGCTAAGTAGCTTTTAATGAAATCTAAGTGAAAAATTCAATCTTTGCTAAGTAATTTATTGAAAATCATTCTGAGCATAAAAAACATTGCTAAGTATTTTATTTAAATTCTAAGTGAAAAAGTTTGATTTTCTAGGCAAAGTATTGTAAATCTCTACATAAATATACAAATTTTGTTGAGTAAAGAAACATAAATATATAAGTAAAAAAATTTAATTATACAGTTATGGTATTAATAAATATTTGTTAGAATAGTACCGATCCCATTATTTTTCATGTTTAATGTCTATTTCAGCTAGTACATCATCAAAAAAGCTTTTGTCTTTTATCCATTAAAATTGATGTCGAATTCTTTTCTTTTCTTGAATATCTTTCTGATGAGCTTTCATATTGTTGTGTTACAACAAAATTTGCACTTGTTTTTAAAATCGAAATAAATTTTCAATTGCACGTATATTATCAGTAGATATTTATAGAATAGCAAATATGGAATATCCCAAGATGTAATATAGGATATTTAGAAAAATGCCTAAAGTGCTAGATTTAACATAAAAAACTCAAGCAGGAGAAAAACAATAGGGAAAAATACTTGAGAGAGCGAAAGAAGAAATGGATAGAATATACATATGTAGCAGTATCACATCAACACTCACAGAAGCAAAGCAATAGAGATAAAATGTATACTCCATATCATCCGGAAAAAAAATATTCATCTTGTCTCTGATTATTTTACTTTGTCTTAATCACAAATAACTTAGTAGTAAAAATATTTACTTATCGAATGTGTTTTATAACTATGATTTCAATTTATTAACTTAATGAAAACATATTTTTCTTGAATATTAATGATTCAACTTAGCAGATATTTTTATTACTGAGAAAAATTAAATTGACTGGGTGTTCAATAATTCCACTTAGCATTTAAATTATTTACTGATCAAATACAAATTTTACTTAGCAAAGAAATTGTTGCCGAAAACTAATGCGCTATTGTATTAACATGATATGGAATGAGATGGTTCTGTATTTGAGATATAAAAAAATAATATTGAAAATAGTCAGAATGTTGAGTTGATTTAAGCACTACGTTAATGAAAACAGATTACAATACTTTTGTCTAGGAATTTTAACAAAAACTATTCATGTTAGCACTAAATTAATGTTGATGCTAATCTGACATCCCTGACGTAAATAAAAAATAGTGCGCATTTTATTTAATAAATAGAAAACTTTCACATGAAACTTTACTGGGTACTATTCTAAGAGATACGCAGAACTTCTATAGGTCTCGTTCTAGATATCTTTATCTTCTTTGATACTCGCTTAAACTGTACTTATGACGTTCAGTGTTACTGGCAGGAAAGCCCAAAACGATGTCTTTGATTTTTTTGATGTATTTTCTAACAAAACTTGAACGATATTCTTCACTCATCAACCAACTTGAATTTTATGCTGGAAAAGAATCAATTGGTAATCTATTCGTAAAATTCGATTCTGTAGCAGTTGTTGTTAATTTTATACCGTTTTGAAAATCATCGATAAAAGTTCTAATTAACATGCACTGTAGCACATCTTTCTTTGTCACTCATATTAAATGAAACGAAAATCAAGTTCATTATTTAGAATTGATGTTCAAATGATGTTTTCTTCGTGTTCATTACCTAACAGAAGATTGAAAAAATATCAATTAGAATCTAGTAAATCTATGCTTTTTCATAACTCTCAATTTACTCTTGTTGTGCAGACAGACTGATATTCAACAAATAGATGCTAGGATCACTAGAACTCAATACTACTGCTATGTTTCATTTATCTCGATGTAATCGACAAAAATGGCAATCAATACCTAGCTGAGATATTAGTAGTGTATTGTTGCGAATAGTTTGCATACGATTAAAGCAGTCACAAATCGAAGAATGAGAATGAATGCTAACATGGATGAATACTCAAACTGGACTAATACTCGTACACAGCACGTCATTGCACCAATAATCTATAAAAAGAATTCTGAATCATACGGTTATCAAAATACCAACTATACAATAATTGTCAAATTTTCAGTTGACAAAGTTTTAGTGAAGGTTATGCTACTTAATAGTTACACTTCATGCGACACTAAAAGCTAATTATTTTGATGAGTCGATTTAATCTTTTGACTAGAAACTTTAATTTATGTGTAATTTGTTCTCAAAAGATTTTTTTTTTTTTGGTAGATCCAAAGACAAAGGTCCAATAAAACACTAGAATGTCTAAATCAGAGTTCTTCGTTCTCATTGTCAACATTTACACTAGCACTTTTGAAAAAAAAATAAAATAAACATAATGTATGAAAGAAATATATGTGAACATACTGACCTATTTACTTCTTGATATCTATAATAGTAGGACTTTTTGTAAAGCATTTTAAATCAAAAATTCATATATATATTGATCAACAATAAAGATTCTGTTTACTTTCATTAAGAAAAATTATTTTCTCTTTTTATTCATTATAAAATTACTGGAGTATACTTGCAGAACACAATTTTTTCATACATTTATTTGTACGATATGAAGTAATATAAAGATAGGTTTTCCTTCAATCTGTTATTTGTTATGTAAAGACCGTTTTTACATGATATTGATGCTGATATCACGCTCGAACTACGGCAAATTGTCAAATTATTTAGATTTGAATATATCAAGTTGAACTTGTTCACACAGGAACATGTTTGACAATGTACTTCCAACGAAATATTTTCTTAAGTGTTGGACAAATATGAAACGCGATTCGTGTTCATTTTAATGAAAAAAACAACAACATATATATGGGATTAAACCACTGTGTTCTTGTTTACATTAATAACAAAATGAGACTGTATCAAACAAAAAAACATGCCTAGGCATTAATATACGCTCTCAGACTATTTTTTTCGATAACATCAGTCGATAAGTAAGTAATGGATAAGTGTTTTTCTTTCAATTTTCTTTTTGAATAGTCACATATCATTGCTCACAAAGAATGGTGATGTATTCACTACTATATGAATGTATATATTCTAAAGACCGTTGTTGAAAAATTAACATACACCGCAATCAAATAAATGGATTCAAGTGAGGCCAGAAGTCGTCGCATTATCAATCTAAATATCGCCGATGAACCATTAGAACTATTTTTTTCTACCACAGGCTATACCGATGAATCACTTGTCTCACTAGAAGAAGCGTGTCAACCACTAGAGGCGCTTATTAATGATTTGCCCGCTTATGTTTCAATAGCAAAAGCAAAGAAACAGCTCCCAGTCGATGACTTGTCTCCGGACGAGTCTGCAGCCATTCATCTGTACACATTGGAATGGATACAATGTGATAAAGTCTTTATGTCATATTCAACCGAACTCTTCGTGATCCAGATCGATCTCAACTGACATTGGCACCATGGTTCAAATATCTAAAACTGTTTCTCACCGCTCTTGCGAAAACTGCCCATCTCATTAGTTCCTGATTGACGACAAATTTTTTATCGTGAATTGAAACTTGGTGAGTATTTTCTTCCTGCACCAAGTCTCTTAGTTCACGTGGATCAGAGAGTTTTCTGGGAACGACAGATGAAAAAACTATATTCAATATTGAGACCACAAATAGAAAAACTATTTCTGCACATTCACATTCTGGCGAACAAGATGAAGGTCTCTTGGTACCGGGCGCCTATTTTCAAGTTGTATCACTATTCAATCCAGCGCCTCAACTCGATATTATTCATGAAAGAGAACAAAAAAATGTCCAATGTGCGTCCTCGAATCTCCCCTCGAAGGTAGAACAAATAGAAATTCTCATCGAGATACCGATTTTGTTTCTTAGGTGTGCTCAATACCAGCGACGGTATAAAAAAATCCATATTCATATCACAAATGTTGAAAGGATCACCGTATAAAAAGAGACTATATATTACTGCCGTGCTGTGGTTCATTATCATGGCTATTTTATTGATTNTATGAAACACCTTGTAATGTTTTCTGCTAATCTCTATTGTAATATGGGCTTCTCAGTGCAAATAAACTTTCCGTTATTTTCTTCTCGTTTGAGGATATGAATGGATGCAAGTGTGTTGGGTGTGGGTGCAAAGAGGTGTCGGTGTCGGTGTTGGCGTAGATGTGAGATGTAAGTCTGGGGCATAAATGTTGGGTGTGAGGGAGTGGTTTGAATGTCATTGAAGAGATCATATGCATCCACACCCATATCATCGGTAGCAGAACTTCCGTCGTTCTCTTTTGATGGTTGTATTGTCTTTATTATTAATTGTCGTTTAATATCAAAGATTTCATGTGATTTTTGTGCTTCCAGTCTTCATGTAATTATCAATATTAGTTTTACCTTGATAATGTGCTGAAAATTGGTGATTGAAAGCGATACATGTCGCTTGAGATAAATCGGATTTATATTCTTTCAAAAATGGGTGATACTCGACCATTTTTAGCCATTCTCTGTTGGAGATGCCTTTTTCAATTTCTTTTTTTTTTGGCTTATCATCTTCTGATGGCATTTATGATTTTTTATCAGTTACTAGTACTTCAGTATCGTCCTCTTCACTAATCATGTGGTCATTAGCATCTTCACTTGTTCTTTCTGTTCCAGAATAATTACTACTAATTTTACAAATTACTTACTTTTGTCAAACAAACGCAAAGAAAAGAAAGTAAATATTGATTTGTATGAATTAGATGGTCAATAGAACATATAATAGAAAAGAAAACATTGAAACAGAGTGAAGTAAAAACGAAATATAAATGTTAGCAGGTTTTCCTAACCAGTGGAAAACGTGGATTAATCTTTAAAAAGAATTAGGATGTAACGAAAACACCAACAAGCATTGATAAAAGTTACTGTTTAAAATTTTCAAAATTGAAAAAAATGTTGGTTAAAAATATAAATCGCATGATATTCAAAAAAGCAGAAAAAACTGGAAAAAAACAGGACGTGCATAGAAAAAGCAGAAGAAATGACAGCACCGAATTATTCGTAGAAAGTACATTAGGCAGTCTCTACAGCAATTGATTGAATTGTTTAGTGTTTCAACGAATATTCGTCTAATTTCCATCCGTTTCATCGAAACAAACTGTCTTGACTAAAATGCTTGTCACGGCATATGGGTCACAATTGGCGGCCGGACGTCTATCTTCGAAATAGCCGCATTGTTCTTCATCAACTTGACGTGGTATACGAATACTAACGTTACGCGAGGCAGCTGCAGATGAAAATTGTTTGTAAGAGGCCGTTTCATGCTTGCCCGTTAGACGACGAGTATTATCCAATCCTTGAGTCGGATCATAATGTTTCAGATGAGTACTGTGGCGACGAGACAATTTCTCAATTGCTTTTAAAATCGCTCTACAAATGAGACCACTTTGAATAATCTGCACATGATTTAAATATCAATCATCATAAAATTACACTCATCGTAAACCAAAAACGCGTGTCCGCTTTATCAGTGTTATTCCCGACAGAAACAGTTTTTGGATGAGGAAGTGTTGTCTTAAGGGTAGTTTCACTAATCATTCTCAAACATTGTAAACCTTTTCTGGTATTCATTTCAAAAAGAGGGGACCATGTCTGTTCAACAACTTTAAGAATCACAAAAATTAATGCAACAGCAATGTTAGGATGCGTGAAGCTTCCCATAATGTTTTGCGAACACCAACGATCAGTATATTTCATAATGTAGGTGTTCCCTAGAACATTCCGACTTTTCGGGAAAAAATGGCAAACGATCATTTGAAAGTAGGAAAAACGATCCGGATTTTATTGCGATCTAAAACCAATCCAAAAAGAAAGTTCTCGGAAACTTTTTAAAATAAGATTAGGTAGAGCAGATAGAAGAAAAGGATATCGGTATTTATCCAGCACGTGTAAATAAATGCTCAAGGTGAACTGGACAAGATGAATAGTGTTGACAAGCAGAAATGGTTTTAATTGGTTGGTCGAATAATAACGAGCAAAAGCCATTTCGATAACATATGACAATCAACGCTAGATTCAATAGGAGCGCTCACGACTGAGTTAAACAGATTAACAGAAGCGAAAGTTCCCAACTATTATTAGATGAATTTATAGTAGTTGTTCCGCTGAAAAAGTCACAGATCCATACTTGAGCATGAATCCATCGTTACTATTCGCTGAATTTTTATTCTTTTGACTAATTCAAGCAGTGGTTGCGGTCTACACTACTCTGTAAAAAAAAGAAGTCCTACTGAACAATTTAAAGTTTTAGCCACGTCTGGAATTGAAAAAGGCTCAGCAAATAGTATAGAAATCTAGAACTCTAAAAGATTCAGTATGACTTCATTTTTTAGAAAACAGGGGCGATGGAGTGATATTCTACTAGTAGAAACAGGCATTTAGTGCTGAATTTCCAAAAGATGAGATAACTTAAGCAACTTCTATTTCGCCGCCTCTTATCTGCACGAATTTTTAATTATTCGAATATGTTGAGTATGGGTATGGGTGTTGAATTCGTTAATCATTCACATCCTCATTGAGACCACCTTTCAGCTCGTTCGGTGAGCAAACGTCTGTAAAAATGCTATAGATTGCTCAAAAGATCAACTGACCAAAAGAAAGATGCTATTTAGGAACCACTTCCATACCGAACCAATGCTATTGTACTGCCTGTTTCATCTGAAATGTTTTACAAAGTCAACGAACTGCCATCAAACTCACTTGATTCCACCCGGTTTTCGCATTTCCTCCACTGACAAATTTGTATGGCATCCAGCTCCGTTCCAGTCACCAATATCTATGGGTTTTGGGTCGAACGTTGCCTGGATTCCGTATTCTTCTGCGATTCTTTGCAGAATATAACGACTTATCCACAACTGATCACTAGCAGCAATACCTAATGTTGGACCGATTTGATATTCCCATTGGCTAGGCATTACTTCAGCATTAGTACCACCAATGTCTAAACCAGCATACAGACAAGCCCGATAGTGTGCTTCGACCAAATCTCGACCATAAACCTGACAAGCACCAACACCACAGTAATATGGCCCTTCAAAGATAGAAAATTGATGGAATAGATTTTTATTGTTTTGAAGGCTTTCTATTCAATCTTCTACTTTCAATTTTTCTCATCAATAACGTTTGCTCAAGTCGAATACAAAGGAAGAATGCCACTTAAGAAAACTTCATGCAGTTGTCATTTATATACAACGCGATGTTGACTGATATAAAAATAAGGAAGTACTTTGGCAATATCATGTGCTTTAAGAGTATGCATGTTTAGGTCCAATGTAGAAGTGGAAATGATTCATTATTCATCTCTTTTTTCAAGCAACGAAAACCACGGTCTTCTATCTTGTTTCTATCAAAAGTTATTCAAAAAATATCAAATAGGCACTAGTACTACTAGCCAAATATCATNGCCGTAGTCGAAAACCTGTGCGAAAACTTACTGCGAAGTGAAATTGTGCAAGTCATATCATCAATTTTCTGCAAAAATAGGTCTACTTGGGATCGATCGCGTTTCTTTAAAGATGGATATCGAAAATTCGGGTTAGTGTGATTCTTATAGACCTTCAGTAGACGAATCTAACCCATAAAAAAAATATGATCCGCAAAGCATTATAAGTCCCTACTTGGATGTTCGCAAGAAAGTCGATATACCCAAGCTTCGAAAACATCACACAAAAAATCTCGGAAGGGTGTCGTTTTGTAGCCCTTGACTTGCTCTATCTACTCTAAAAATTTCACTTCTCCACCATCGACCTATCAAAAGTGATTCAAAAAATGGCCACCCTTTTTTTATTTTGAAACGGGTATTAGTACACTGAAACGCATACATCATATAGTGCGAAAGCACTAGGGACTTGTTCAGCTCGCTTCACTTAATATTGTCACTGTTACACAATAAGTCGATCAGAAAACCTGCGTAGTAATGTCTATGAAATCTGATTTAAGGTCAATCAGAGACACAGACCTAGCTACTTAAAAATAAAATATGCGAAGAGCATCCATTTGACTACTTTCATTAACGATTTGGGTGTGAGTATGAGTAAAATAAAAGCAAGATCTAGACCCACACTCACATCCTTTTACTTTATATGAAAAAGTATACTTTAGTTTTCTACCATAAACAGCAACAAAAGAAAAGAGAGCAAATAAAATCCCACAAAAAGACAAGTGATTTAACATTTACTCAGTATGTTTTTGCTTCTAAAATCCGATCAATTTCGCTAAATATACGTTTACTTGTTGATGATGATGCTGGAATTGAACGCAATGTTGATATCAAATGTCATGATTATGAATACATACATGAATGCTTTTTCCATTGCGATAATACAGGTTCATCGTTTTGATAGTTCATTTTTCTCTCCATTTAGTCAGTTACTTTGTTATATGGTCTTCTCAAGTACAAAATATTGCTCGATCATGATCGAAACGATTGTCGTTCCTATACTAATATATATATATATATATATATAGCAGTGTGGAACAGTAAAAATATTTTGAAACGTCAAGATCTCATATATTGCCGAGTGGGTTGCTGGGTATGATCTCAAATTTGGACCCGATTCGATTATAGGATGCAACTTCGATTAACAGTTAATGACAGTGCGTATTTTATTTACCCGAATGGATAACTCAAATCATGAAGCGCATAGACATTTTTTGTGCTCGATCCAAAAGGTGTTGCATACTCTACGTTTGCTCTCAAAATATAATAATTTGATTATGTTTCAATTATAAAGTTGCTTCAGATTAATAAAAATATTAATGATATTATTGACTTTATGTTTAATACAAAAAAAAAGAAAATGAAAATAAACCACAATTCGAAAATGCAGTTTAGTTTCGAAGTTTGGAATGTATATAATTGGTACGCCAGAATAAATGTCTAGCAAAACATTTCCTCAATATCGTCGTACTTTAATCTTTTTTTTTTAAAGACTCACGATTCAATTTTCTATAGGAATGTATTCCAAGTTTTGCTACAAGATGTTAAGTAGAAATATTACACAAGTAATACCGCGAGGCGGGAACATGTCTAATTTTTAAAAACATTTTCTTCGGAACAATTCAGCATATTTTTCTAGCTTTGCGCAATATAACATGACAGAGCAATAGCTAAGTGCGTGCTTTCTCATGATATATACGTATATATATATGCTGGTCCAAAAGTTACAGAGCAGTCTTTAATTGCGAATAGCTTTTGATAGAAACAAGATAGAGAACTACAGTTTTCACCGTTCGAAAGAGAAGATGAAGATGCGTAGAACTGTAATATAAGATAATTTGACTTAAATTTTCAATAACTTAAACCGACGTTTTTGAGGAAGCAACGTATTCCGTCAGATGACTATGTTGAATTTTTATGATTAGGCATGCATTCGATCCGCTAGTCGGACACCTACACAACTGTGCAAAGCATAGACTTTGAGAGTTACTCCCTTGCGGGTTATAGGCATTCTAGTAGAAATTCTGAGCTGACTTTTCTATTAATTTCTGTAAAAAAAATCACTTTTGTGCGTTTTTCCTATTTTATAAGAAACTCATTTTTCCGGCAATTTGTTTTGAAAAATTGATTAAGGAAACTGTAGAAACTATCTCAGAAAAACGTATAATATATGATTCAATGCGGCTTCATCTTCTCTTTCGAATGGCGGAAACCGTAGCTCTCTGTTTTGTTTCTCTCAAAACTAATTCGCAATCAAAGATTGCCCGGTAACTTTTGAACCACTCTGTATATAGTGTAGTTCGTTTCAGCGAAGTTCGTTTTTTTGACGCGAATATTAATTTATTAAAACTGACATAGGAACCTCTCTAGGTGTCAAATCGTTTTCGACCGAGACGATGCTCACTTGATGAGTAATATAAAAGTCTACAATGGTTTCGTTTTCTGGGCCTTCATTCTTGAGATATCGCAATTTCTCTGGCTTTTCAACAAAAAATTGTGATCCTCTTCAAGTCGCTTAAGGACTTCAACTTCAAACTTTGCACAAATAAAGTTTTCAATAAGATTAGTTCATTGGTGAAGTTGTAAATTTTCTTTTATCTCCTATCCTGAGCGCTTCAATGCTCGGAATTCTTGCATGTGTAGCAGCAAATTTTGTTTATTTATCTACATCTCAAGAACAGAAATAATAGAAAAGCTAAAACTTGCACAATCAACTAATCTTATTAAGAACTTTGTTAATACAAAGTTGTAAATTGAAAGTGACACATTACCTGAGGGATAATCGCAGTCTTTGTGAAACATCTAGTAAAATCTCGATATCTCAATGATGAAGGCCCAGAAAACTAAATCACTCTAGACTTTTTTTATTACTAATCAAATGAACATCATCTCGGTCGAAAAGCAAATTTGACACCTGAAGTGATTACCTTGTTAGCCGAAAACACTTAAAACTTAGCTTCTTTTCCAAGATGTATCCGCATAAAGAGCCTTATTTGAGTCTTGGCATGTCACTCTGATACATCATTCATTTGTCTTCAAAATGAAATAAAGTCGAATTATATTGGCTAATTTTTTTCGTCAACTAAGGCTTTTCGAAAGCTCTGTAATCACTGATTCAAAACCGTCCCTTGAATTTATAAAGTTTGTAATAAAAATCAATTCATTCAATTGGCAAATAATGATATAAAAATTTTAGTACTCTGATTACAAGATACAGCTTTTCGAGTACTACAAGATTGAGGTGTGGCTGTGGGTATGAATAAAGAGAAAGCTGATATCAAGACTCACCCCACTTCTTTTTCAGAATAATCACTATTAATTTTACAGATTACTTACTTTCATCAAACAAACACACACAACGGAAAGTAAATATTAATTTGTATGAATTAGATGGCCAATAGACAATATAACAGAAAAGAAAACATAGCAAAAGGGTGGAGTAAAAACGAAATATATATATTGGTAGGTTTTCCTAGCCAGAGGAAAACAAGGATTAATCTTATCAAAGCATTAGAACGTAAAAAAAACGTCAACAGGTATTGATAAGAGTTACTCTTTAAAGTTTCAAAAATTAAAAAAATGTTGGTTAAAAATATAAATCGTATGATATCTAAAAAAAGCAGCAAAAAATGGAAAAACACAGAAAACAAGCCGAATTTTTCGCCTAAAAGCAGTCGAAATGGTACCACTGAATTATTCGTAAAAAGTGCATGAAGTAGTCTCTACAGCAATTGATATGGATTGTTTCGTGTTTTAACGAATATTCGTCTAATTTCCATCTTTTTCACCTAAACACACTGTCTTGACTAAAATGTTTGTCACAGCATATGGATCACAATTGGCAGCCGGACGTCTATCTTCGAAAAAGCCGCATTGTTCTTCATCAACTTGACGCGGAATACGAACGCTAACGTTACGCGATGCTGCTGCAGATGAAAATTGTTTGTAGGAGGCTGTTTCATGCTTGCCCGTTAGACGACGAGTATTATCCAATCCTTGAGTCGGATCATAGTATTTCAGATGAGTACTGTGTCGATGAGACAATTTCTCAATTGCTTTTAAAATTGCTCTACAAATGAGATCGCTTTGAATAATCTGCACAAGATTTAAATATCAATCATTATAAAATTATTCTCATCGTAGATCAAAAGTGTATGTCCGTTTTATCGCTGCTATTCCCGAAAGAAACAGTTTTTGAATGAGAAGTGTTGTCTTAAGGACAGTTTCACTATATTTCATAATGTAGGTTTTCCCAAGAACAGGCTGACTTTTCAGAAAAAATGGTAGACAACCATTCCAAAGTAGGGAAAATGTTTTTGTTTTTATTTCAAAATAAAAACATAGAAAAAAGTTCTCGGAAAATTGTTCAACTAAGATCAGGCGGAGCAGATATAGGAAAAAGATATCAGTATTCATCCAACACGTGTAAATATATACTCGATGTGAGCTGGACAAGATGAATAGTGTTGACATGCAGAAAAGATGTTAATTTGGTTAGTCGAACAGTAACGAGCAACAGCCATTTTGACAAATCTGACAATCGACGCTAGATTCAATAGGAATGCTCACGACTGACTGAAACAAGTTAACAGAAGCGAAAGTTCCCCACTATTATTATATGAATTCATAGTGATTGTTTCGTTGAAAAAGCCACAGATCCATACTAGAACATGGGCCCATTCCTACTATTCGATGGATTTTCGTTCTTGTAATCAATTCAAGCAGTGAGTATGGTCTGCACCATTCTGTAAAAATGGAGTTCTACTAAATCTTTTTAGGTTCTAGCCAAAACATCTGGAACTAAAAAAGTTCAGAAAATGATACAGAAATCAAGAAGCCTAAAAGGTTCAGTATGACTCCTTTCTTTTAGAGAACAAAGGTGACGAAGTGAGTTTCTACTAGGAGACACACGCATTTAGTGCTAAATTTTCAAAAGGTGCAGTGACTCGAGCAACCTATATTTCGTAGTCTCTTATCTGCACGAGTTCTGAATTACCTGAATATAGTACCTTCTATATTT